TAATGGACGAGCAATATATCATCCCCATAAATCACATCTAGAGACTCTTTGGTCACAGACGGGTGAGCTGGGTCGGAGAAATTTATACATATAATTTATATTTGTAATGGTTCATTTTGATTTAATAAATAAATGACACCAACCTGATTGAGGGAAAAAAAAAATGATAAATATATGCTATGTTAAAAATATAAATTTATTTAATTTCGATAATTTCAGTACTTTTGGTTTAATATCGGTATTGCAAAGTTTTGTATCGAAAATTTTCGGTAATTATTAATACCAATATTGAAAAATATTTTTGATATCGGTTTTATGAAATACTGTATTGAATGGTATTGATCGGAACTCTAGGGGAGTAGAAAAGAGTTTTTTTTTTAATAATTTATTATTTTATTTTTTAAAAAAATCAAAAATAGTTATAAAATTTAAATTATATCTTAAATAATTTAAGTTTATAATTGTAATTATAAGTTTTAAAATCTTTATTAGGAAATATACAGTATATTAATGTTAATTATTTTTATATTTATAATTGTATAAACTAAAGTTATAATGTAAAAAGCTATTTTTTAATTATTAATATATATTAATTTTTTTTTTTAAAAAAATATAATTAAAAAGATTTATATTTTATATGTAATTTTATATTTGTAATAATTATTTATAAATAAATAAATAAATAATTTTAATTTGATTATAAGTTAAAAAATAAATAAATAAGTATTTGATTTAAAATTAAGATTTACAGTATATTATAAATATTTAATAAAATTATATTTAAAATTAAAAAACAAATATGGTTTTATAATAATATAAATTTTATAAATTAATTGATTAAAGAATATAAATTGTTACAATTATTTAAAGTAAATAAAAGTAATTATTGTTTAAAGTAAATTATTTTATAATAAAAATAATTATTTAATAATAATTTGTATTTAAAAATACTTAAAAAAGAAATATATTTATAAACTATATTATATAATTTATAATATATTATAAATTATAAAAAAATTTTATTTATAGAGTCCTGAGTCACAATTTAATTACTTAGGAAATTATTAAGAGTTGCTATGCGTACTGTATTTTACTATCTTCAGCCAATCGGATCATCGGTAAAAACTTTCATATAAAGTGAAACCTCCATTTAACTTTTTTTTACACAATGAACCTTTCACGTAAAAATCTGATGCCTTCTCCTTCTGCTACCGAATTGGAAGAGGATGATCCCACTGTCAAACTTCAACCAACAAAGTTAGAAGAATACTTTTTCCCTTCGCATAGGCTTAAAACTCGCCTCGAAGGTATCGCCGTGCTTTGTTATTCATTTTCGATCGTGCATTTAGAAAATACTCTCAAGCATGCATGCGAGATTTCTTAGTACAACGCCCTTTACTTTTTTAAAGGAAGGGATGTGCAGACTGCGAGTGATGAAGGAAATAACGTGTTAATTATTTTTTATTGAATAATAAACGAATTATGTCTTCAAACAAAATCTGTAGACGAAACAAAAGAGCCAGTAATTATCGTCGCTTGTGGATCTTTTTCACCAATTACATACCTCCACTTGCGGATATTTGGTAATAAGTTAAGCATGTATATTTGTTTAGGGGGAGAATAAGAAACTTATTTTGGTTCGAAATATTACAAGAAATGGCAAAGGACTACATACTGGAGAATACAAACTTTGAGATTATGGGTGGTTATTACTCTCCAGTATCCGATCACTATATCAAAGAAGGGCTTGCGCCTTCTTACCACAGGGTTCGAATGTGTGAACTCGCAGTAGAAAGAACCTCCCTGTGGCTGATGGTTGACGCATGGGAGAGTTTACAGAACGAATACACTAGAACCGCTTTAGTCATGGACCATTTTAATGAGGAGGTGAATTTGAAGCGTGGGGGTGTAATGATGGCAGATGGTAAATTCTTAAGTTTCCGTTCAGTCATTGACCAGCAAAAGTTGATAGATAGATTATCTAAAAAGAAAAAAATTTTTTTGCCTACATAAATTGCTCCGAGGTCGAAAACGAAAGGTTAAAATTATGCTTTTAGCCGGTGGAGACCTAATCGAATCATTCAAACCAAATCTTTGGCTTGATGAAGACGTAAGAATCATTGAATAAAATGATTGTATTATCTTTAATCATTATAATTCCTTACCCTTGGATTGAATCTTAGCTTCACCATATTTTGGGAGACTATGGTGTTCTTGTGGTGGAAAGAACCGGTGCCGATGTGTGGGGATTTTTGTTATCACATGATATACTTTATCAACACAGGGTATATATTGGCTTCGTGCGTTGTACCTTTTCACGTATCCACCTAATATCATTTTGTCCGGTTTCACAGAAAAATGTTTATATAATTAAACAAACGATATATAATGATATTAGTTCAACGAAAGTTCGGTATGTCATCTCACAAGTCTATCGTTTTAACAAAGAAAAAGTCATTATTCTGATCATGTTTTTGCCACCGTAGTTTGTTCGTCAAACGGGGAATGTCCATTAAGTACCTACTCCCTAATTCAGTGATCAAGTACATCTACGAGAATGGGCTTTACACGAAATAATTACGTCATTTTTCTTTTAGGTAGGCACGGGTTTTTTTTATTTCATTTTAAATTATTTATCACTTTTAATGACTTGTTAAAAAGTCGAATATAATATTGAATATCAAATGGACATTCTATAATCAAGGGATAGCTCAATCTGTAATATAATAACTAGGTAGATTATCGTAGTGATCAAGATTAATTTCAATAGTTCGGTGTGTTTTATGCTAGTATAATATTAAATAAACTTCAGCGCCTCCTCCATTACATCTACCGCTTCCAAATCCAGCATTAATATTTCGTGACCCATGATATTATAAACGTCACCGGCGTCAAAAATTTCTTCAGCGGTTAACGCGTGTACTCGTTGCAGATTTCTCGAAGCGAGATCCAAATTCAATTGGTGGTCCTTACTCATGAACAATATTGAATGACCTTGAACCCGCTCTTCTGCTAGGGGATCCCACGCATTTTTATCCAAAATCTCTAGTAATTCCTTTGTTTTGTGAGTGTTCAGCTTAAAGTTCTCCACTAGTACAAGTTGATTTTGCACATATTTGGTCGCGAGTGCGGTGCGTACTCCCAGAACTTGAATCTGACGTGGAAGATCGGTTGCATACGAACGTGGCCTAGGCCCATGAGCAACACCACCTTCATCGATTTTGTTTATTATTATATGTGTTACGTAGCATTGTTAAAATTTTAAATGAATACCAACCTCCTCTCCAATGAGGCACGCGATGACTACCAACTCTTGCCTTTCCCCTTCCTTTTTGTGGCGCCCATTTTTTACCTGTTCCACTCACTTCCCCTCGAGTTTTCGTTTTATGCGTTCCCTGTCGTAAAGCGTCACGTTGCCATGTCGCCACCCTTTGCAATATGTCAACTCTTATGGGCGCACCAAAGACTTGTCGATCCAGATTTTTCATTCCTAACGGTTCATTCGTCACGAAATCATAGTAGATGGCCTCAATCACTTTTGGTAAAGGGTTAACGGCTAATGACATTGTAAAAAAGAATATCAGTCAGTATATACAATAGATACGTGTATAGCGGATTTTTTTACCTTGAAGTTTTACGGGCGCTTGCGGTAATATACCATTATGGTTAGCGAAATCTACTTCCTGAAAACTGGTGTCTGACTAACTTACACGTGTGAAATACTTTCGACTATGAGAGTAGTGATGGTTACCTTAATGGTTGCTCCAACGGAATCGTGAAAATATCGGGGACCTCGTATTCGTCGTAGAAATAAGTTTGAAAAACATCCTCTTAACCACATAATTGCTATGATAAAACGATAATCAAACGATTGTGATAATCAATTAATCGATTGCTATTCACGTAATACACGTAATACGTAATAAAATTTAAAAATTTACATAATCATGCAAATCTTTCAAGAAAATGTCAACTCTTGCCACAATTTTCTCTGGTAATTCCCTG